TTGAACCTGGATCACAGCCCTCACTCACAGCCCTTGTCAAGTGGGCAGCTGCGAGTGTCAGGCTGCTTGGGGGCGGACCCGGACGCTTTGTCCAACGCTGTGTTTTCTAAGCTGGTGAAAGCTTTTTCTAATTGCTCATTTGGACAGCAATGAAACCACTCCTATAAGCAAACACCTGGTTTTATCCTCTTGGGGTGTGCAAGAATGTTGAACTCTTTTTCTCTAGCTCCTAAGGTGACGAGAGGGCTATATGTGGGAGCTACTTTTTAAAGAAAAAAAAAAAAAAAAAGGCAAAACTACAAAATTTGTGGAGTTTTGTCACTTGGGCCTGCAGATTATTTATATTTTTGTAGAATTCTGTAATTGTCTGTTTTCAAATGAAGATTTGGGTAGAGGGGATCTGGGGTCTCTTTTCCTTCTAGTGATTGGAGAATTCTGGGTCAAGAGGAAGCCAGAGGGCTGATACCACTCCCTCCCTCCATCCCAGAAGACACTCTATCCACCCCTGCCCTGTCAACAGCACAGCAGTCCTGTAACAGAGTGCTTACTTAGGGCAACTCTGAGCATTTCTGGTTCTGCTTGAGGAGGCCCCTTTCTTGGTCCTCTCTCCCAATAAGGGACAAAGCAGCTTGTTGAGGTATACTGACTATGCTTTGAGGTGTTTTCCAGAGATCTGCAGGGGTCAGCCTGTGGAAAAAGAAAAGTGCCTTGCTCCCTCCCCAACCCCCTGTCCACAGACCGGAAGGTTACTCTGGAAGGAGGCAGTGCCTGGTGGTAGGCCTCTTGGTAGTGATGCAGTAGTAGTAATAGCAGAATTGGGGGAGACAACTGTGACCTCTTCCCCAAACGTGTAAAATCTTTATCAATGGAGGAAACAGTTGTGTCTCATTAAAAGGGTTTTGAAGTGGAAATAATGGCGCTGCTCAATCCTATTAACACTCGTAATAATAACGATGATGCTGATCTTGTGATGCTTGTCTGGGTGGTTATTTGATTCTACTGCAGGATACATGGGTGGGGGTGGAGAGATCTGAAAGAGACTGGGATGGAGAGAAGCATCAAATCTATGGATGGGGGCCTCCAGCGGCAGGGGCTCCAGGGGTGTGGGGACTTTGGGAGCTAAGGACATCTCCTCTGACACTTCTGCCCTAAGCCCTTTCTTTGGAATTCAGAGGAAATTGTGCCAACAGCAGCAGGCCCCCACCTCGGACTTGGATGTTTCTGCTTCCTCCACCCCCAAGACTCCAGGAAAAGGTCTATCTGGGGGTGGGGGGAGCTGAGCTGATGCTAAAAACAAATCCGAGGCTCATATGCAGTCTCTCACTTACTCCTCTCTACACCCTAGCAAGAGAAGATACCATTGCTATCCTCATTTTTCCCATGAGGCAGTGGGTTCAGAGAGGTTAAGTAACTTGTCCAAGGTCACACAGCTAGGAAATGGCAGCATTAGGATTTGGCCCTAAGTCAGGCCATCCTCCAGCCATTGACTTCACAGTACCCCAGCCTCTTTTCATGGTGTAGGGAATGGGACAGACATAGTAGGCAGAATCTTACTTTAAAAATGATTCTCCTGGGGGGCCCCTTTCCAAAGCAATCACATTTGTGTTTCTGGAAATGTACACATGTGTTCCCAGCCTGGCATACTCAGTGGTTAGAGAGATCAACAGCCTGCCCCACCTTGTGGGATGCCAGCCTTTGACCACGGGGCACAGTGGGAAGGGGTCTCAACCACAGGAGAAGGCTTCCCTCAGCACCTGGTGCTGTTGAGGCTCACCTGGCCAAGCTGGCTCTGCAATTCCAGGCCCCACCCTTTCCTGTACAGTCCTGCCCTTTAACCCCATTCTACTTGCTCTCCTCCTCCTCCCACTCTTCCTGTCTTCCTGTCCTTTACCCCTGCCTCACCCAGGCCTTGCCCACTTTCCAAACAGCCTCCCCCTCCATTGTCAGCCCCAGTCACCCCATCACAAACTGGTGCACACCCCTCTCTCTCTCCCCCCCCCCCTTCTGGGCCTGCTGAGAGACCCAACTAGTGATGGGAGTGCAGTAAAGACATTGGACACCAGGTGGCAGCACAAGGCACTCTCACCTGGTGCCACCCTGTGTGCCCCAGCTGCAGAGGGACTAAGCCAGGGAGAGGACACTAATACTGATGGGCACCATCTATGGACCCCTAAATGAGGAAACAAATGGGCTGGCAGAGATGAACCAGTGTTCTGTGCCCAGAGAAACCCATACTGTACATACATCCCAGCTGTATGACCACTAAGCCCATCTTATCCAAGGTCCCTGCTAAAGCCAGTGACCTAGGAAAAATCCAGGACAACAGCCCCCAGGATGTGAATGAATTCTCAAAATCAAGTTTGGATGTGATCTGCTGGCCCTTCTGTGGGAGGAACAAGGTGGGTCAAGGAGGCAGCTGCCCAACAGGGCCCCAGGAGGGAGTTCCAGTCAGTGTTTTGGATGCTGGAACTCTAGGTCTTAGCTCTGGTCCAGGTGCGGGGTAGCTGCTGACTGTGGCTTGCTGAGCTAATTAATTCTTCTTTGCTTTGAAAACTCCTGAGTCGGGCAGGCGCCAGAGCCAATGCTCACATGCATGGTAAATCAGACGCAAATGCAGTTTTGGGGGAGGGTAAAGGGGTGGCCTGGGCTTTGGGCTGTCTTACTGAGGGCCACAAGGGGGGCAGTATGCCCCCCGCTGGTTGGAGTCTGGGAGATTGGCCAGCTGCATGAGAGGTGGGAAGGGGCGGCTGGAGTTTGGGAGCTGGAAGCAGGTTTGGGCATGATCCAGACCTTCGAGGAGCCAGAGGGGGCAGGGACTACAAGGAGCTAGACAGTGAGGTGAATGGGGAGGACCAGCAGCCAGGCTCTGCCCCCGACCCTCCCCATCTGTCTTGCCTGTTCCAATCCAACTCTCCCCCTTTGCAGCATTTCCTGTCCCTGGGTCTCCCATCCTTCCCTTCCTCTGCTTTCTTGTCTCTGCTGTCACTCCTGCTCTAAGCTATACCTTGCAATTACCTTATCTTTCCATCTCCTTGCCAGGAAATCCCTGATGCTGGATTCCCCTGGGATGCTTCTGGCAGGGGAGGTGGAGCACTTGCTCCGTGCTGTGTGCATCCTGCTGGAACTGCAATCAGCTGGGGAGGGAGAAGGGGGCTCAGCCACTGAGGCTGGGGGAGCTTTGGTCACCTCTCTGCCAAAACCCAACCTGTGGGGTCTTTATTGCTTCTATCAGGACCCTCCAACTGGACACATCTTGGTTCTGAAAACACAAAAGCAGAGTGGGCTGTGCTCACTGCTGGGGCTGGACCTAATGCTACTGTGACCTCTTCTTAGGAAATTTGTTTAGTTTGTCAACAAACATTTCCTAAGGATCAGCTTTGTCATGCACTGTGCTGGGTGCTGAGGATCGAGATAAGTAAGATGCAGTCCCTATCCTCAAGGTGTTCACAGTTCTCTGGGGAAGGTGAGCAAGATACTCAGTGATTACAATATACGGAGAGATGGATGTCTGGTAGAAGGGTCCTTGCTCTGGAAGAGGGTGAGGGAGGCTTCCAGAAAGGGGGGGGGGGACTTGAGCAAAATCTCGATGGATGAATAGAGTTTGCAAGGTGCAGGAAGATAGGTGGTATGTAGGGAAAATATGCCAAACAACCTTGAAGGCAAGTCCCAGAGCATGGTTGCTACAGTGAAGGATACAGGACATGGCCAGTGGTTTCGAAGATGTGAAGATGTGGGCTTAACCCACCTCTGCCTGACTATGCTCTGTGGCCCTGGGCAAGTTGTAGAGCTTCTCAGGGCCTGAGTTTTCCTGCTCTGGTGAGAACAGCCAGAATAATAATGTCCCTGGGTTTTGCTCAAAACCTTGAGTGGGAGGCCAGGCTGGTCCTAGGTGACCCATCCCAGGAAGGAGACCTGCTTGGAGAACTCATCTCTACAAGGGCTCTGAAGAGACGCCTCCAAATCTCCTCAAGCCCAGAGCCAGCCTCCCTGGTTCTTCTGGTGTCTACAACTTGTGCCAGGCTGAGAGAAAGAACGAGAGCGCAGGGGAGGCAGATGGGCAGATGGAGGGGGACATCTAGGGCTGAGGGTGAGACCCATGAGGAGGACCTTGAAGTGGGTTTGGCTGCTGAAAACCTGATGGGGGCCAGGGGAGGGTGGAGGAGGACTCCCAGCTGCTCCGGCTCAAGAAACTGGGTCCCAGAGACATCAAGGGGCTTGTCAAGGTCACACAGTATACAAAAGGCACTTTTGTGGCATAGAGGGGTGATTGGAGGTGACTCAGTTGGTCTCTGCCTTTGGGGACCTCTCAGGCTGGCAGGGAAGACAGACTTCACAACTAAATATAACCCAAGGCACACTGTGACAAGAGTGTGAAATCGCTGCAAAGGCTTTGCCCAGAGATAGGGAGGAGAGTGGCAGGGAGAGGAGCAGACAGAGAGGGCTGGGGGCTTGCCCCGTGCTGAGAGAGGGCCTCCTCTCTACCTGATGGGAAGGGGGAGCATTGTCCACCAGCCCCCACCCCCACCCTGTGTGCGCTCACATCTCTTGTGATTGCCAATGGCCAGAGAGACTTCTGCTTCTGGTGACTTCCTGCCTGCCCAGAGGGACAGGAGGGACCAGCTGCGCCTGCACTGTCTGACTGACTCCCTCCTGTGCCCGCTGCTCAGCATGCAAAGAAGGAAACATCTCCTGAGAACAAGTGCCAGGGAAGGGCTCACCAGGGTGAACATGGGCAGATCCTGCAGATGGGGACAAGATGGAGTGGGGGCAACAGGGAACAGGTCGAGGAAAGTGTTCCCCAGGGAGACTTCCCTCTCCGCCCCAAGAAAGGGTGGTGGGTTGGCTTTTGGGATCCTATTAGGGGAGAGAGGGTGGCAGGAGATGGTGGTAGGAAGAGGAATGGGGAGATTCCAACCTGACCAAACTGGGGGTGAGTAGAAGCTGGAGGTGATGGACTCCAAACCCATTTTACAGATGGGCAATGTGTAGTACAGCCTAATATGGGGCTCTTCGTGAGGCATCACCTGCCCATCCTCCACTCTGAAGTAGAAGAATTAAAAAAATGTTGGTTGCCTTGCAGCATGCTTGATGCTTTATGTACCTTTATATGTATGGATTGGTACATATACACTGTATACAGTGGCTGCAACAATGGGCTTAAGCATAGCAAGGATTGTGAGGATGGTGCCGGACAGGACAGTGTTTCCTTCTGTTGTACAGAGGGGCCCTATGAATGGGAGCTGACTTGACTGGCACCAAACAACAACATATACCTTCCCCCATGTCATCCTGTGGTGTCCGCAGGATCATTTTATTTTACAGTTGTGAAAGCTGAGACACAGAGAGCCTCTGATGTGTCACACGCTTATCAGGGAGCCACAAACCCCCAGGAAGGCTGCAGTTAAGATACCCACAAGAGGGCTCACATCTGGGTTGGGACCTCCTCCTCCACGCACACTCACGCACACACACACACACACACACACACGGGTACTACAAACCGCTCGTTACTTGGATACTATGATTTGGTGTCTGCCAGCTGTCTCTGGCAACTTGTAGTGAGCGGTATTCCACATTGAGTGCACAAGCTCTTCCATTTTACAAATGGCGAAACTGAGGTCCAGAGATGAACGTGACCTAATTAAGGATTTTATTTATGGAGGGAGGGTTGCTAAGTCCCGCTCCACGTTTTTTCTGACTCGTTGAACCCCCATGGAGTAGTCTGGGATGGAAGCGTGTGCCCTCATTTCTGGCTCGCAAACAGACTGTGTTCCGGCCCCCATCAGTCTAGTTCAGCGCAGCGGTGTCGCTCCCTCGAAGGGGCCGTCCCTTTGTCAGTGACCCCCACTCACCCTCGCCAAGAGTCCCTCGCGCTGGCGCCGCGGTTTCGTCGAGGCAGGCGCAGTCGCAACCCCCCAACCGGAGAGCGAGATCCAGAGAACTAGGGTAGGGTTCAGGGGGGCGGGCCAGGGCGGAGACCCGGAGCGGAGGCGGCTCTCCGCGCTCAGAGCTGCCCCGCCGGCCCGCATCCACACTCGCCAATCTCGCCGTCGCGCCTCGGACCCATGGACGCCTTCTGCGGCTCCGGGGAGCTCGGCTCCAAGTTCTGGGTAAGGCCCGGGGGCTCAGGGGCCGCTGTGGCGGGGCCAGGAACAGCTGCCGCCTGCCTTCCCACGGAGACCGGGAAGTGTCCCAGGATGCCGGGCGCTTGTCGGCCGAGCCCCCCACTGCCCCGGGACGGCCGGAGCACACTGGCGGAGCGAAGGGTCGCAGGGAGGGGGTCAGGTCAGTGCTGCCCAGAGCCTGGTCCCACGCAGTTTTTGGGACTTGCCTAGACCTGTCATCCCCCTGCCGCGTGGAGGAGCCTGAGAAAGCCAGGTGCAAGTCCCCTCATGGGCGCAGGGGATGGCAGGCACCCTGGAACAGAGATGTGTCTTCAGTTGCTGCCTGGCCTCCCTCGGGACCAAGCGCAAGGTGCAGAAGGGACATTTCCACATTACCCCGGTTCCTACTCGACCCTTCAGCTAGGGCTTGGTTGTTCATGCCCCCCACAGACCTGTCCCAGGGCTCCCAGGGCACCTAAAGCCCAGCTCAGTCAGGCTGGCTTCTGCAGGTCCCACATTTCTGTAAGGGTTTCTGCTACCTTCTCTCCACAAGAGTCACCTGGCTACAGGTCTTAAGACAGGCAATCCTCACCTCCTTGGCCTAAGGAGGGAGAGACAGAGCTCACTCTGGAGACAGGCACTTATAAGTACAGGGGCATCAGGATTGCCAGGTACAAAAACAGGTTGCCTTGAGTGGCTTCTGACTCATAGCAACCCTATAGGACAGAGTAGAACTATCCCATAGGGTTTCCAAGGCCATAATCTTTATGGCAGGAGCTCTAGTGGCTTAGTGGTTAAAGCAGGTGTTTTTTAACCAAAGGGTTGGTGGTTCAAACCCACTAGCCACTCTGAGGGGAAAAGATGTGACAGTCTATTTCCATAAAGATTACCTACTGCTGTAAAGTGGATTCTGACTCATAATAACTCTATAGGACAGAGTAGAATTGCCCCCTGAAAGTACCATGGACTGCCAGAAGAATGAGTAAATCTGTCCTGGAGGAAGAGCAGCAGGAATGGTCCTTGGAAGTGAGAACAGCCAGACTTCATCTCACCTACTTTGGTCATGTTATCAGAAGAAACCATTCCCTAGAGAAGGATATTGTTCTAGTTACCTACTGCCACTCTGACAAGAATATACCACAAATAGGATGGCCTTAACAAACAAGAGTTTATTCTCTTATGGTTTGGAGGCTAGAAGTCTGAGTTCAAAGTGCCAGGTTATAGGGGCTGGGTGAAAGCCCCTCAACCTTGGGGTCCAGCTCTGCCCCCTGCTCCCAGCCCACTGGTTGCTGAGGTTGACAAGCCCAAGGTTGACAAGTAAAAAGGCACAGTCCCGATGTTACCAAACTACACGGCAGGCCATTAATTTAAGTCCATTGTAAGTCCCAAGGTCGGCAGAGCATGACAGGCTGCTGAACAACGACAAGGCTATGTGCAGGGTCCAAACGTGCCATAAGCTAGAGACTATTCCCAACGCTTCTCCTTATATACAGGAAGCAAACTTTTATCCCAAAGACAGCTATTCAGCTGCTTGTGGTAGATCCCACCATGGAGTTGATTGCCAGTCTCATAATGGGGAATAACTACCACCAACCGCCCAGCCACTCAACCAAGCCCAGCCAAGTTGACATACAAATTTAACTACCACAGATATCATGCTTGGTAAAGTGAAAGGTTAGCGAAAATGGGGAAGACCCTCAATGAGATGGATTGACAGTGGCTGCAATGATGGGTTCAGGTATAGCAAGGATTGTGAGGATGGCATAGGAACAAGCAGTGTTTCGTTCTGTTGTACATAAGGTCACTATGAGTTGGAGCTGACTCGATGGCACCTAAAAACAACAGAATTGCTACTTTATGAAAGTAGACTGCCTCATCTTTCTGCTGCAGAGCAGCTGTTGGGTTTGAACCACCAAACTTCTGTTTAGCAGCATAACCACTGACCCACCAGAGCTCTTTTCCCAGGTCCAGCCTTGTCCTTTTTATAGATGGGGCAAGGAAGGCCCGGGGTGGGGGGTGACAGGGGAGAGCCTTTTGACTCTAATGCCAGGTCCCTTTCTGAAAACATCAGACAGCTTTTCAGGCTGCTGACCCCAGCCTCCCAGCACAGTTCAGGCACACTGAGTAGAGAAAACCCAAGAGCTTTCTTCCCAGCTTTCAAAACCTACCCATAGGAGCAAGCTTGACTTTCAATGAAGCTCTTATTTTATGGCATGGTCTCCATTTTATAGATGAGCCTCAGATGAAAGGTGGAATGAGGTCATCCAGGGATGCACAGTGCAGGCTGGCCTTCAGAGAATCTCAGTCTTCACATTTTCGTCTTGTTTCCAGTCTTTGTACATTTATGTCTGGTGGGTGTGTGCCCAGTGTGTGCATGTGTATGTGTGTGGGGTATGTGTGCATCTTTGTATGTGTAGGTATCCACTGGTGTGTGCATGTGTGGGTGGGTGGGTGTGAACATAGAGGAGTGTGCAGGTACATATGTGTGTGCACAGGTGTACATATATACAATGAGGAATCACTCTCAGGCTGTGTTTGGAATTGACTGGGGGTTTGTTTACATAGATTTACTGAATAATGAGATAATAGACTGAAAAATACCAAACCCACTGTATTGAGTCAATGTTGACTCATAGTTGTCTGCTTCAGACAGAGTAAAACTGCCCCACAGCATTTCCAAGGCTCCAAACCTTTTTACAAAAGCAGACTTCCACTTCTTTGTTCTGTGGAGTGGCTGGTGGGGTTGAAACATCAACTTTTTGGTTAGTGGCAAACTACAGTGTCACCAGAGCCCTTGAGACAATTGAGTACCTGAAAAAAAAAAAAAAAAGTGTTTTTGGGAATTTATTTGGGTCACTGAAATGTTAATCTGAGGTGGTGCAACTTCTCTGCCACTGCCCTTGGCTGGCCCCTCAGAACCCTACTAGTCATGCACCCTGGTCACTTGCCACCAAGGTTTAAAGGTTGCTCATCACTGCTCTTTGGCTCATGTACTCCCTTTCACTGGCCACTTAAACCTGGCTGGTGTGGCTATGGCATGGTCATGGTGCCTGGGGTGGCCAGGGAGAGGGCTTGAAAACAAAGGCAGTTGTTGTGCCCAAGCTTCAAATGCAAGGGCTCCTATTCCCGGGTGGGTGGCTAAACCTTGCAAACACGGGGCTGTACAGAAGATGGGCTTTGAGGAACTCAGGACTTCCTTCTTGTTCCAAGCTCGAGATCCTTTGGCTCTGCCCCTGTTGCCTTCCAGGGCATTGTGGAATCCAAGAGTGATTGTGGAGTCCAAGAGTATCAGAGCATAGGGCTTGGACCACTAGCTCTTCTTTGTGAATCTGGGGAAACTGAGGCCCAGGGAGGGAATGGACTTGCCAAGGTGATGCGATAATCAGTTGCAGAGTGCTGGACTGGAAAGCATGCCCCGTGGGATAGCCATTGCCTACCTCTGCACCTCTCAACTTCCCAACCCCTGAACGTTCTGCTGCTCATGAATTGTACCTCCACTGAGGACCTCATCTGTATTAGGTCCAAGGGATGAATCCCTTCTTTGAAGTCTTTGACAAATTGCTGTGGGATCTCTGCTGGGATTCATGAAATAACTCCTCCTCCTCCCTATCCCAATGTCCAGATACCCTCCATCCTCCACATTATTCTCTTGGGTCCAGACATCTGGTTCCACGTTGCACCCACACTGGGGTGATTGAGAATGGGGTGGAAAAAAAGCAGGAAGATTCCCAGCTGCAAGGGTGGACCTCATCTTCTGAGGGTTTGCAGATGAGACAAGGGAGGGTCTGAGGCAGGGAGGATGGAACCCCAGCTATAGCTCATTTACCCAAAGGGCCTGGGGTTCTAGGCTACTCATTCATGTGGTACTTTGCATCTCATTGACACTGCATATTATTCAGGCATTTCTGTCCCTGAACGTTTTCCCTTAGGGAGCTGTGGGGGCCCACCTTAAGGGAAGTTATCCCAGGCAGCTAGGATGTGCCTGAACCAGGAGTGAAAAGGATGGGATGGGAAGTTTAAGCTCCTCTGGGCCTCTTGTTTACTCTACCAAGCCTTTCCCAGCTTATCCTCACAGCCTCAGTTTCTTTAGCAGTGAAATGGGAAAATAACCCACCTCCTACCCACCTCACAAGATTATTGTGGGGATCCAACAAGATAGAGAATGTGAACTGATTTACCCCTGGGAAGAGGAGGGAAGAAAAAGAGAAAGGAGTTTAGGAGGGGATATTGGGACTGGTAAGGCCTATGAGAAGTGGGCTGGCAGGACTGTTGAGTTGGGGGCTGCCATTTCCACTGTTTGCTGGGGAGCAGAGGGCTGAACCTGGCTGAATTAATCAACCTTGGCCCCAGCTAAACCTGAAGGTGAGAGACCTGTGGGGCCCCGTGGCTCTGTGGACGCACATAAACACCCATATATTTGTACATACCATACAGTGGGTACATGACTTATTACTCCATTTAAATCTTTCTCTCTCACCTCTGCCCTCTTGTGGGCAGGTTACTGACACCTCTGAGTGCCATGGGGGTTTCCATGAAAATAAAGTCCAAACAAGGAAACTGTGTGATCTAGCTACCCAGGGCTCTAGAGGCCAGAGATGCCCCTAGAACAAAAGTGGTGATGTGTCCCTTTACTCTGCCCTGTTGTCCCTGGCTGGGAAGATTACTCTCTGTTGTGAGCAGCAGAGGTTGGTGAGTACCCAGGGCTGTAAAGGGAGTACACAGTGCTAGGGCCTGGGAGTGTTCACATTTTGGGGTGTGTGTGTGTGTGTGTGTGTCTTGATCTGTTTGCAGAATTAGCCTTGATCTGATGGCCGGGGCAGCTCCTGAAAGGCTGAGGTCATCCTCTAAATCACAAGGACCTGGCCATCAGAGCTGCTCAAAGATGGCACTGACTGCCTGAGAAGTAATGAGCTCCCTGTCACCTGGGGTGTGTAAGCACATAGTTGGTGACCACTTGGTAGGGATGCTGGAGAGAGGATTCAGGTCAGGGGAAGAGGTCAGGTCCT